TCAACGCTCTCCTTGCGCAATCGCTTCTCTGAATATCCAGGTCTCTCACTCTGGACAGTCTGCCAGCCGGATATTCGCGGAAGCGCCGCAACGCCCGCGCGCGGCACCAAGCTTTTACGACATCGCTGCACTATCTGAATTTACTTCAACGGGGCCCTGGTATACGCCAAAGCTGTATAATTGTTGAGTTGAGCAGTTCTGGCGATTGGACAACGGATTTCACTACCCATGTAGCTTGAGATTTGCTTGAAATGCTCGTATAACTTTTTTGGCGACTCGGCGCGCTCGTTTTGCTGTAAAAAACGGATTTGCACTTTCTTCTTTGTTTGTTTCTGTTGATGAGTGTAGTAGATATGGCGTGCGATAGACGGCGCAACGAACGCCGAGGCTATAGGCATAGTAGACTGGTACCCGTTCGCCACCTTTACTCCGGCATATCGCTACACTCACGTAGTGTAGCGTGTGGAACTGTCGACCGGGTACCAGTCTATATGCATATAGCCTCGTTTCCTGTGCAGCACGGGCCGCAGGCGCTAACCGCTTATTTCTGGCCTGACGGCTAGACTCACGTACAACACCCACATACTCACGTACTCATGTAGTGTAGCGTGTGGAACTGTCGACCGGGTACGAGCCTATATGCACATGGGTTGATAGCATGGCGTCTATGTTATAACCATGGAAAAGTTTCTTATTGTTCGTCGTTTGATTCGTTAAATAATGACGAGCCGCAACTGGAATTTTTTTCATCGGAAGGTCATCTAATTAAAAGGGAAGTCGAACTTTGTTACGGGCAGACTAACGACTATAAATAAGTATGTAACAAGCGTAGATGCAGCTTTACAAATTTGTTTACATACCGGGCGGTGGTCGGTAGCCGTGTTATGTCGAATCTATGATCTTGCAGTGCAGCCTTGATCTTGCAGTGCAGTCTTGCAGTCATACACTGATATCTACAGTCTTGTCGGGTTATTTACATTACTATCATAGTGACGGGAATTTGTACTTGCAAGTAGTTGTAGTGTACGGCAGTTGCTGTATACTGATCTATAGACTGATAGCTAAGGTTAGTAAGTGTACTGGGACCGTAAACTAACCCACTAATTCATAATGGCTCATGTAATACAGAAATGAATAAACCCTGAATGTTTCAATTATATTTATATACAGGTTATTTTTACTGCCCCTAGCCTAGAGTCCTAACATATAATACGATGTATTGCGATGTATGTGTTTGTGCGCGTTTGTGCATGTATTGCTACGTGTTCTCGGCTTAGCTTAGTCACTCGATGGGTAATCGAGGTGGGAGCGAGTCCCAGTCTATATAGCCTTTGTCCTTGCAGCCATTTCCATTACTGGGTAGGCTACATCAGATCAAACTGTTTTGTAGGCTACTGAAGCTGAGAATGATATACTGCACAATATTCATTGTCTTTTAACATGAAACCTGAGTAAACTTATTTTCAAAGATCTGTATTCATCAGAGTGCAAACATTTCTGAAAGAGCATCACAAGAATTAGGCCCAGGCCTACTTGCTGATTAACTTATTTTTTTCTCACTGCAGTCTATTTGCTGCTGCTGGCTCCTGAAACTTGGCATCTTTTAGCCTTTACGAGTGCATCAATATCAGGTGTCAAATCCTGAGTAGCAGCACATTTCAGAATGTCATTCAAGTGTGTGTTTGTTAACCTTGCGCGGTGCTTTGTTTTATTTAGGTTCATTACAGAGAACACCTGTTCACAAAGATAGGTAGTCCCAAACATGGATAAAACCTTTGCAGCCAGGGATGTTAATTTGGGGTACCCTGGCAAGAGATATTGATAAAATGTGTCCAAGCCCACCGATGCAAATTTCTCCTTCATATTGGTATCACACTGCAAGTCAATTATCTCGAGTTGGATGTCAGCTGGCATGTCAGAAGGCTTGACTGTAAATGGCGAGCGAAAAACGGCAAATTCCTTCTCTAGTTCACTGAAGACCTGAAACCTCAGCTCGAACTCCTGCAGCAATCCTGTTATCTTGTCTTTGTATTGATCCATATCAGCATTACGTCCGGTCGCACGCACAGCTGTTAGACATGGGAAATGGGCGGTGTCACCGCTAGATAGCTGCGTCTCCCAGAGTGACAGTTTTAACTTGAATGCGCGTATGCTGTCGTTATACTGAGTCACAATTTTTTTGCGGCCCTGCAACATTTTGTTAAGATTATTCAGGTGCTGTGTAATATCCACCATAAATGCAAGATCCTGCACCCACTGCGGACATTTAAGTTCCTTCACTGGGCTACCCTTTTTCTCCATGAACTGTCCAATTTCCTCTCGTAGCTCAAAGAAACGCTTGAGCACGGCACCTCGGCTTAACCACCGTACTTCAGTGTGGTATGGTAGGCCAGCCTGAATGTCATTATCTCTGAGAAAAGTGTCAAACTGACGGTGATTCAGACCTCGCGCTCTGATGAAATTTGCAGTTTTTACAACCACACTCATAACATGATCCATTTTTAGTGTTTTGCAACACAATGCTTCTTGATGCAAAATACAGTGAAATGTCCAAAAATCTTGTCCCCCATTTGCGGTCTGTACTTTCTCTCGGCATTTTGTCGCAACGCCTGCCTTTCTCCCAACCATTGATGGTGCGCCATCTGTAGCCAGGCTGACGGCACGGGACCAGTCCACTCCGACCTTGTCCAGCGCTCCAACGAGAGAGCTGAATACGTCATTCGCTGTTGTAGTGTCCTTCATAGGCACCAACTCAAGGAACTCCTCAGTGATTGTCAAAGTCTCATCAACACCCCGAATAAATATGGCCAGTTGAGCAATATTTGTTACATCAGTGCTCTCATCAATTGCAACCGAAAAAGCAATAAATGACTTGATTTTGTCATTCATTTGGCTGCTCAAGTCTCCTGAGAGCTCTGTTACCCTATCTGCGACAGTGTTCCTCGACAGACTAATGTTGGCAAAGGCAGATCGCTTTTCAGGGAACACGACTTCTGCAGCCTTCAGCATGCATGTTTTCACAAACTCACCATCAGAAAATGGCTTGGATGCTTGCACTATCTCGTGAGCAATAAGGTAGCTGGCTTTCACTACTGCTTCACTGACCTCGCGGCTGAAAGTAAAAGTAGACTGCTGTTTCTTCAGACCAGCTAACAATTTGTCTATCTCCTCTTTTCTTAGTTGTCCTTTCAAATGGTGATATTTTTCATTATGATGAGTCTCATAGTGGCGCCGAATATTATATTCTTTGAGCACTGCAACTTGCTGATTACATACCAAGCACACTGCTTTTGTATTCACCTCTGTGAATAAATAATTCTCAGTCCATTTTTCCTGGAAAACTCTGCACTCTGTGTCCACTTTTCTTCTTTTTGACAAAGACATTTTGGTAATGGGGATGTCACAATGTCATTCAACATGAGCGGTGCAACAAGTGTGGATTTCCTTCATTTTTTTTTATTTTTGCTGCCCCCTAGCGGCTGGAATGAGCATTTTGGTTATTTCTTTAAAAAATCATAACTCATCACAGGAATGGGCTAGAGACTTACTTTTTTTTTGACATACTCAGAGATTTATGCTCTACATGTCGCGGGCCTGATCAAATCATCTCGCGGGCCGGATCCGGCCCGCGGGCCGTATGTTTGACACCCCTGCTCTAGACAGTCTGCAGCCGGATATCCGCGCTAAGCGCGCAAACGCGCCGCCTAGCGGCAAGCTTTCACGACATCGCTGCACTATCTGAATTTACTTCAACGGGGCCCTGGTATACGCCAAAGCCGTATAATCGTTGAGTTGAGCAGTTCTGGCGATTGGACAACGGATTTCACTACCCATGTAGCTGAGATTTGCTGAAATGCTCGTATAACTTTTTTGGCGACTCGGCGCGCTCGTTTTGCTGTAAAAAACGGATTTGCACTTTCTTCTTTGTTTGTTTCTGTTGATGAGTGTAGCAGGCTTTCAGATTTGAAAAAGTACAGGAGGACTACTAATGACTCCCCTGGGACACACCATAGGGGGACTTTTCACGCTCCATAATCACACCCTTAAGAGGCATGATGGAGAGCTCCACTAAAAAATCACACCCTTAAGAGGCATGATGGAGAGCTCACTAAAAATCACACCTTTAAAAGGGATGATGGAGAGCTCCTTGAAGGCCTCTCCATCATGCCTCTTGGGCTGTGAATGATGGAATCATGACCAATCCTCAGTCTAGAGTGAAATCCAAAACGAAAATTGGATGTCATGCTAAATCTACTGATTATCATTCATCTTCACCTTCATTCATTCAATGGCTTCGTCAGGATTACATTCTTTCATCAACAACCCAACACTGCACACAGATTAATAAAATAGTTGATCGGATGTAAAAATAAACTGTTTTATTTATTCTGATTTCCATCCTTAGAGTTCTAATCCATGTACCTGCCATATTTCAGCACAAAATATCATCACAATCCATCAACAACTAGCCCAAATTACTTGTACGTAGTAGCCACGTATGTAAGCCTCCTCAGCCCTACGACTGTTTCAAGTCGCAGAAAACCACTTCTCGCCACGTATAGTAGAAAACGAGCAGGTAACTTGTGGCTACCGTATAGGTACCTGTATTTGGATGCTGTTGTTTAGTTGTATGTATATATATAATATATAAACCAGAGGGTACAGGGGTGTATCCAGGATTTTTTCTGGGTGGGTCGTGATCATAATTTTTTGGACCTTTTCACAATGAAATAGCAGCAAGATGTGAAATTACGGAAAATGTCAATACAATCAGGGGCGTGTACGGGATTTGTACCAGGGGGGCGGGGTCTAACCGTAACCCAAACTTGGGAGCACGCGAAGGGGGGGTGTGGGGGGCCCTCCCCCAGAAAAATTTTGAAATTAGACCTCCTTAGATGCATTTTCTGCGCGAGCAGGGGGGTCCGGACACGACCGGGTACACGACCCTGACAATTTAATTAAAACAAAAAAATTGTTTCAAAAAAAATTTATCAGTTTAAAAAAAAAAGTTCTGACTCAGTTGAAAACAGTTTTTTGAACTTTTTGTCTTTATCTTGTCTTGTTTAAAAAAAAGGCTCAGTTTCAGAATTGCTGGAATTGGGATAGATTTACGTCACGCAATTGGAAATGTCTTTGGACTATTGCTGGTACCTGATCTTTTTCATTTATGTCATTGTAAAAAGGCCCTCGAAAAAAAATGTCTTTGGAAAAAATGTGGACCTTTTAAAATTTTTGGGGGGTCGTACGACCCTCACGACCCCCCCCCCCCTGCATACACCCATGGGGTAGTAACCAGACCTGTACCTCTGCCATACGTTCAGTCACTTAAACACCACAAATTGTTGTGTGTTGCTAACCTTTTGTAACCCCCTACATTGAGAACTCTATGCAGCGATTTCAACATAATACACAGACTTTTTGGTGCGCGATTTCAACCACTTTTATGAGGCGCGATGATTGCGCGCACCATGCACAATTTATGGTGCGCGGTGGAGCGCGAGCGCGATCGGCCGCCCTTAAAAATGAAGCCTGGTGTAGTGATAGTGGCGTGCGATAGGACGCGCGCAACGAACGCCGAGGCTATAGGCATAGTAGACTGGTACCCGTTCGCACCTTTACTCCGGCATATCGCTACACTCACGTAGTGTAGGCATGTGAACTGTTGACTGGGTACCAGTCTATATGCATATTAGCCTGTTTCCTGTGCAGCACGGGCCGCCAGCGCTAACCGCTTATTTCTGCCTGACGGCTAGACTCACGTACAAACACCCACGTACTCACGTACTCATGTAGTGTAGCGTGTGGAAACTGTCGACGGGTACGAGCCTATATGAACATGGGTTGATAGCATGGCGTCTATGTTATAACCATGGAAAAGTTTCTTATTATTCGTCGTTTGATTCGTTAAATAAGACGGGCCGCAACTGGAATTTTTTTCATCGGAAGGTCATCTAATTAAAAGGAAAGTCGAATTTTGTTACGGGCAGACTAACGACTATAAATAAGTATGTAACGAGCGTAGATGCAGCTTTACAAATTTGTTTACATACCGGCGCGTGGTCGTTGGCCGTGTTATGTCCGAATCTATGATCTTGCAGTGCAGCCTTGATCTTGCAGTGCAGACTTGCAGTCATACACTGATATGTACAGTCTTGTCGGGTTATTTACATTACTATCATAGTGACGCGGAATTTGTACTTGCGAGATAATTGTAGTGTACGGCAGTTGCTGTATACTGATCTATAGACTGATAGCTAAGGTTAGTAAGTGTACTGGACCGTAAACTACCCACTAATTCATAATGGCTCATGTAATACAGAAATGAATAAACCCTGAATGTTCCAATTATATTTATTATCAGGTTATTTTTACTGCCCCTAGCTAGAGTCCTAACATATAATACGATGTATGCGATGTATGTGTTTGTCGCGTTTGTGCATGTATTGCTACGTGTTCTCGGCTTAGCTTAGTCACTCGATGGGTAATCGAGGTGGGAGCGAGTCCCAGTCTATATAGCCTTTGTCCTTGGAGCCATTTCCATTACTGGGCAAGGTTCGCGATCGCGAGAATTTCGTCAAGTCTTTCTGTGATTTCGCGTCACACAGCTCGGTTACGAACAGAGACATTATGTTTTTATAACAAGTGAACAGTGTTCACGTCCCAAATGTCTACCCTCTGTGTCCCCCACTAAAATTGCGGACTGTTCGCTGGCAGCTATGGATCCGTGCGCCGGCCAATGCATTCGGCGCGCACGGATCTATAGCTGCCAGCGCTGCATACTGTCGTGGACGTTCCCGCGTCGCGTGCCCTTGCCGTGGAACTGCGCTCAAGATCTGCGCTCAAGATCTGCGCTTAGTGCTTCGGATTAATACCTCCTTTCGGCAACGCTCTAGTATCCCGTCTCATCTGGTTGATGAGCATCCACATCCTATCATCTTTAGAACAAGTTGGGCTGGGGATACATTCCTGGTGGCAGTGGTTCAGGAACTAACATGTTAGAGGTCTGGTCTCAGTATGTCTGCTTATTTCCTTGGTGGCGGTACTTGCCCTTTGTAGTGATGTTACTTGATATTTATCACAATCTACTATAAGAGGTGTACTATAATTAGCATTGTGATGGTGATGGTGGTGGTGGTGGAATAGATAAATTTATTTAAATTTCAGGTACTGTTTGTATTACCTGCGTTGCATGGAGAAGTTATCAGGGCCAGTTCTGGAAAAATTTCTTATGGGAAACCATATTATGAGACATCAACCAGGCATATGAAATGGTATCTGGTCAGATATGTTTATCGAATCTACGTTCATGCGCTATGGTCACGGCCCTGGATGCATCATAGGCATCACCCTGAAGCCATCAACATTGAAGAGATGGGCACTTCTCCACATATGCAGTCATCTTGTGCAAGATATCACAGAAATGAGAGAGAGCCATCGTCAGACTCCAGGGGCCCGTTGTCAGAAACATCGTAAAGTTAATGCTGATGTTAATGCTACGATAACACTTCGACTAATGTTAATGCTACGAGAGTAGCGTTGACAGAAACACTTCGTAGCTACGAGCAAACTCACGATAACAGGAACTTCATAATTTCATGTCACAAGGCTGCTGATTGGACGAGAATCGTTCACAAAGTTCAAATTCATACACATTTATTGTACATCACAGTAATTTATGCATATTATGATGGCTAACCACATATAAAAAATTTTTGATGAAAAATGACGTGGTCATGAATTTATTCTGCACAACAAGAAAAATTCTCAGACTGTAACACGAGACGCGAGAATTGTAGCAAGCATAGCAAACATTTAAAACAAGAGAACAAATGCCATACGCCATTTGTAAATGTATTGTTTTGTGTTATTAGCGGTAGATAGATAAATAATGATTTTGATGTGTTTTTCAATAAAAACACATTTTATTTATTATTATAAAATATAATATTACTATAATTGTAATTCGTAGTGTAAATGTGTTATTTTCAACTTAATATTAAAGTTACGAGAGGGTCTGGCCTCTCGTAATTTTAAGAGGATATTTGCGAGGATTTTTCGTTCTCGTAACATTACGATGTTTCTGTCAACGGTTAACGAGTGGAAGTTAATGTTAAGACTAATGTTAAGACTAATTTTGTTTCTGACAACGGGCCCCAGTTACAGAGCACAAGGAAGAAATGCCATCAAGTATACAGTATGATGGAGTAGACAGAGAAAAGCTAAAAGATAGGTTGAATACCTGCATTGATCCTCTTCAGCCAGATCCTCTTCAGTCATCCTCCTGTACTCAATAATGTCGTAACCAGTAGAATGTGTCTAGATGATGTGAATGTTGATGATTCAGTCATCATTGGAACAAAGCAGATTAATGAATATGAACTGCA